CCCACTGCAGTTTAATCAAGACAAGCAATCCTTCCGGTGATGCGTTGGAACATATTTCAATAGTTCTTCCAGCACAAAGCGAGCTACAAAGGTCTTCCATCAAGTACCAATTGCTAGAGCAAAAACAAAAAGTAAGCTCCGTATAACTTTAAGTAAAAAGATGCAGATTACAAAATTGTATCATTACTCAGAATTAAATTAAATGTTTGGGCAGTAAAAAATGTTTAGCTGTAACATCTTTCCGGTGCCTGGCTGCCACAGTACCCAAAAAAGCCATATGGCTGGAATACTGCCAGGTTACCAAAGCCTAGACAGAGGAAGTCGAGAGACAAGAGAAAACCGTATTGGCGTCAACCTTGTATCCGTGGCATCCAAAACATTAGTTTGCGCAGGTTAACAGATCGTCAAGATAGACATATTCGTTGGAGTGGAGTTCCGCCCCGGTCAAGGATGCATCGACCATAAATTAACCCTGAGACAGGTCCTTGAACAGCGCCACTCTTTTAAACGTCCCACGTTGTTCGTTTATCTGGAGTTGAAAGCTGCTTTCGACTCTGTGGATTATCAGAAACTGGTAGTTTCGTTTGATTTCACGGCATCCAGTGGCGTAAGACAGGGTTGTTTTCTTTCAACATTCTTCTTCGGCTTTGTTATAGATGTGCCGCTGGAAATTACTCTGGCTACTTCTGAAATCTTCGAATTCGAAATACTCCAGGGATGTTTGCTCCCAGTAGGTGGAAGATATTGCTCTTCTTGGTTCATATCTTTCCAAAAAGCACTCCACTTTAAACAACGTAAATAATTCTGTCACATGGTTTGGCATGCGTTTTGCACGTGCAAAGTGTAAAGTGCTACTACAAGACTGAATAATAAAAAACGGTCAGCTGTAATACCCTTTTGGTGCCTAGCTGCCGTGCCACCCGATGAAAGTACAAGGGCTCGGATATTACCACACTGCCTAGGTCTAGACAGGGGAAATTGAGCTGCAGAAGTCAGATTTAAACCACGAAACTTTTGGTCACTGAATTTGTGCTCTCACCACTTAAACCATCTTTGGCAGTATTAGTAAGTTTTTTCATACTTTTCATTCGACAGTTTGTTGATCTGAGCGCTCAAAATACTACAATTACACATCCGTGAAATGCGTTGCGCTAGAAACTGCTTGTGGCTAATGACCTGCACTATATATAGTTCTTGATATATCGGTGTAGCAATGTATTTCCTGGGACCTTTCTTCGGTGCTCATCGCGAGGAATGAATGAAATGTGTTCAAATTATAAACCTGAACTGCTAACAGGTTCACTGACCAAATCTCAAGAAAAAATAGCTGCAAAACTACGGTCTCTTAAATTAACGGATTTCCGTTCATGTACCCTCAGTCTTGACTAATCGCTCGTAGATAAAGTCTACTGTTCTGATAACCTAAGGAAACAGATGCGTACGAAAGTCTCAGCTGGCACCTTTGTAGGTCAAGGGTAATAAGACACCCTGACTTCACTGAAGGACCTCCTCAGATCAGCTTTTTAATTCCACTTTTTCAGTTTAATCAGAAAGCAAAACTAAATGGTAATGCCCAATCTTGTTTTAATGTTTGCTTGACAGTATAACAAACATATTTATAGTCACATTTATTTAACTTCTACGTTTTTACTCATGGCCGTTTGTACCATTTTGGCGAAGGGCTTTTCCGACACCTGATCCTTCAACATGTGACAAGGAAGACCAAAATTTTCACTTTACTTCCCTTGGATGTAAAGTCAATTTTGAGAACTTTTACAAATGAAATTTATCTACCGGTCTTTGTTCTAGGTTAATTGAGTTTTGAAAAATGGGGCATAACTGACTACTGTCGCTTCCAGACTATATATTATCCATAGCAAAATTTCACATTTGGACATAAATCTGCAAGACTGGATGCTAGGTCAAGGAGGCTTGTGGGGAATTTACAACGATGTCAACTCAGGCGGATAATTCTTTCGCGTAACTGAGGAACAAAATATGCGGACTGTGGATCCACATTTCATAGGTATTAAAAAACCACCGTATTTCCAGTGATTTTGAAAAGTAGTTGGCTAAAACATCAGTAAAAGATGTCTTCTGTATTTTAAGGTAAGGTGTCATAACCTAGTCTATAAAAAGGACTAGTTTTTGATTAGTGTAGGACGAATCCAAATCTTTCATATTTTTAAAGTCATCCTCTTGCGAATCACGGAAAATAGGCGCAGTACCTCTGACAATTAAGTCAGCTAACTTTGGTTCCGGTTAAGTTTGCCAGCGAATGCAAGATAATTAAAGGGAAATACTCCATGTCTTTGGTTGCACTGATCACAATTTTTGCGCCAGATTAGGTTTCATCACAACTCGATTTGGTCGAAAATCAGCTCATTGAATGGGCTTGCAGGTGTTGTAATAACTATTTTTGGCACCAAATTCAGGACTCAAAATGTCTGATTTTATTCTGCAGAAAACGAGGGATTTTTTCCCAACACTGCCAGTTAATCAAAACCACGAATTATTTGTTTAGATTTAATACGTAAATGAATTGGGTCCATACTACAATTGGTATATTTTTGTGAATTTTAGAATGATTCCCACTATCTATGGTCACCTATAGGTGAGAGAATTCTCACGGTCTTGAGCCGTTGATACAGATTCGCATTATTGCAAGCGGAAGTTAAGATCAAAGTCTGAGGAATCCAGAACGCAGCAAAAAAGACGGATGATTCTGGTGCCAACAATATGCTCTAAACCAAATTTCAGAAAGCATGCAAGAGAAGCTAAAAGACTACATAAAATTTCGGAAAGTGAATCATTTCATCACTCCACACATGGTAGAGTTTAGAAGCCAGTTCTTTTTTGGTAACGTTACCCTTAGTAAATGGTTAGTTACATGGCTTATTAATGGTTTCCCAGTATGAAAAGAACAAAGACAGTTGGACAAAATTTCTACGCAAACAGAGAGAATGCCGTTGCCCTGAGATTTGGGTTGGGATGTGACAGGTTCCCAAAACTTCATCCTAACCAGTTTCTGTCAGGTGTTACTTTAGAACCCTCCGTAATAATCCGCAAATAGGTTCATTCTATGATTTTCAGAGGAATAGAAATCTTCTCACTGCGCAGTTTTAGTGCAGTTATTGGCCGCTGACAGTCCGTGGCTCATGTCCAAACCGTGCTACATTACTGCATTTTTTATCGTCAACTTATTGTTATGTTTACAACGAAATTGCAACCTTGGCCTAGGTGTTCCATATGCACGGCACTGGTACAGTTAATTACATGGATTCATTGTATTATACTTGCATATCACCTATATCCTTTTCAGTGGGAGGTAATAAGAAAAAGTTGCGGCGAGGCAATTTCATATCAAAGCTCAGTCACGAATTTTCCGCGCTGGTAAGGGATGAGAATTTCCACGATCTTGTCAAACAAACGGAGGATCTCAAACGAGTCCTGGAATACATGTGGTGCCCAACACGGCCACTGGAAAATGTGGGACAATATGCTATTGGTACGTGGTTTGTCACGGTATCTGTCGTTAAATTCATTGTTTTGGTTCATGTCTCATCAAGCAGGATCTGCCAGATTGCGGGTTGGCTGCGGGCTAATGGAGCATACTTCAGGAATACAAGTGCACAGTCCAGAACTATAAGCAGGATCTGCCAGATTGCGGGCTTCTATTTCTCCCTATTTAAGCTTAAACACTCCGGTAATATTTTGGGTTGCCTTATTTCGGGTTGGCTGCGGGCTAATGGAGCATACCTCAGGAATACAAGTGCACAGTCCAGAACTACAGTGCACTTCAGAATCTTTTAAGAGTCTGCTTTAAAGATAGATTCCTTAAGGTAAATTCTGGATCATGTGAAAACAAGCCTAAGCAGTTGACTCATGCGGACGATTAGACTGGTGTTAAGGGGAATACTGGTATCTCAGATGCACTGAGCTGGGGATCCCGATTGCATAGAAAATGCTTGGAACTTTAACTCCTAGTTCATTAAACATACCAACAATCAGTTGGAGTGCTGGCAAATATTCATGTTATTTAATCTCAGTACGCACGGCCCTGTGTGGAAGACCCGAAAATTACAAGAACAGGGCTTAGAATTTTACTGGTTGTTAACCTATGGGAACTTCACTAGAACAGTAAGAAATATATGGTACACAAGCCTGAAGCACTTACAGATATACCACAATGCGCACAGTAAACCAATCAAATCTAAATCGTTTATACCAGCTGAGTTTGGGTTCTTGTTTCTGCCTTCCGGTAAAAAATGTGTAGGTTTAATTACATTTCATTTATCCCACTTTATTACATTACGCGCATCATACTAGTGCGCACATGACACATGCTAAATGAATGAAATATTCGTTACAAACGTTACACTCCATACACTGTGTATACGTAAGTCCAACGGTGCATATAATAGAAGTATATAGCGTAACATAGCTATGTTTGCACATTGAGCAGTTATCTTAGTGCGCACATGACATATGCTAAATGAATGAAATTTTCGTTACAAACATTACACTCCATACAATGTGTATACGTAAGTACAACGGTGCATATAATAAAGTATATAGCGTAAAATAGCTATGTTTGCACATTGAGCAGTTATCCGCCAGAAGGCAGAAACAAGAGGTTCATGCATAATATTTATGGATGGTTTATAGGAAAGTTTCCGGGGCAGCTTATTTTGCATCTATGTGAATATATAAATATGATTATGTATGTAATACATTATGCACATATTATATATGTGCATAATCATGTCTATCTAGAAGACAATACTTTCGGATGCCTTCAGTAGCACCATATCGCATACTCTGCTTTTTCCCTTCCCTGGAACTTCGGAAATATTTTTAACCAATTACCGGCTGATTGTATCCATTTGAAGAGAACCGAAGTGAAGAATATGGTAGGTAAGACATCGGTGTGGTTCGTGGATCGTGCGTAACTATAGGTAATCAACATAAATTACTGAGTCCAATTATGCACAGAACTTAAACTTTTCACCATTCCGACTATAATGGCTATGGTGAAGTGGATAAGTGGCGATCTTGAGGAATGTGGGTTACCGCTTGACTGTTGTTTGCCCTGTCAAGCTAGATTTGGCAGACGTACAGACAAACAAAGCAGATGGTCTCGGGTTTTTTAAGCGTCCTAATTTCAACTCCACCAGGATCAAGCCTTAGCTCTGAGTTCTAATCAGAGGGGGATTCCGGCTTGCTGCTCAGCCTTTTAACAGAATTACGGGCGGTCTTCCTGTCAGGGTATAAATACCGATGGGAAGAAGGTTATTCACAATGCTACTTTATTTGGCTTCACTACCATGAGGCAAAGTTTAAAAATCGAATAAAAATTGAAGCAAAAGTTGGTATTTTGACTAGCTTTAATTTGCATATGGAGTTGCTTTTTCCTCTTCACTTTTTTTTCAGGTCCAGTAAATTTATTTCTCGAGGGAAGGAAATGATCGTAGCCAAGATACCTTGCATTAATTGATAGGAAATCTTTAAATAATTGTTAATTAAACAATTCATAGAAACGAGCAACATTTTATGGAAAGCTGTTTCCAACAATTTGTTGAGAATTTTTCTCTTGCAAAGATCGGCCTCTGGTTATGGCGACAGGCTTTGTAAAAACTCGGCACATTTGCCTATCTGACATTTAGCAAAACTCGTGGTATGCATTGAATTATCTGTCTGTATTTCTATTTTTCTGCAGCCAAACACGCATCGATTCACTACATACTCTCCACACATGCGATTTTGCCTTCATCTGAGTGTTTTACACGTAAGTTTTACCGTATGTTTTCCATGCTGCTCTTTCATGACACACATGCTAGATGTGCCTTGCACACCACCTATTCACTTTTTTTGATATCAAGTGTTTAACTTTTGGTGGCAAAGGACAATACTCCTTCTTCGTAATATTAATAATGCTGCAAAATTTGCCTAATAGCAACATGTATAATAGCGGCATTCACCGAAACTCATGTACTGACCGAATAAAGTTTGCCGAGCTTGGCAGTTGGATTGCAAACATTCCATCACAAATCGAGGTGACACCGTAAAGTCGAGTGGGCAAAGTCCTGCTCTTCTTCCTGTCACTGTATAGGTTGTAAGCTGTGTATGATAGTCCTAAAGTGATTGATTGGTCCCAAGGTGGTCTTAGCTTAACCTGGATTTCGTCGTGGTCTCATTTTGTTGTATCTGATCGGTTTGTCTGGTGCCTCCAATTCGACAGTTCTGTTCCTCCATTGTGGTTGAGCAGTTTCTTTCTTGCCTTGTTCTTTTAATTTGTTCTACTTGGTCGACTGACTCAATGGTCTTTTTTCAGTAGCTTTCTTCCCTTGATTCGATCGGGCCGTTGGTTATCGTCAGGTTGTTTAACTCCCAATGTGGTTTGGGGCCACGTGACTGCGTAGTTTTCTTCGTTCGTAACAGATGATAGACTGGTTCGGTGTCGGTGTTTTTATTGATCAATTTTTGTGAGGTACCACGCGTCGGCAGACTCACATTCCCATTTTTTCCTGCGTAAGCAAGTATTTGAACATTTTCCTAATTGGACTGATGTTCTATTCTGTCTTCGTGGGCTGAAACAAATAATGTAAAGCCATGTCTTCCGCTGAAAAATGGTGTTTGTGTATTCCGATGACAAATTTCCTTCCAGTCTAGTCAGAATGATGTTTGTTTCAGTAGTTAGGTTTAATTTTGTAGGTCACTTTGCCTCCAACCTTTTCTTTGATTCCAAGAATGTTCTTCGCGTTGTTATTCCCTTTTGCTGTAAATGTCTTGTATTCATTTATACGACGTTTTTTACATACGGCAGCGTAATCATCCTCTGTTCTGGTTGTGGTTGATGAAGCTGACGTTGGTTGCGTAAGCATCTCCATCCAAAGTTCCTTTGGGAGCCAGTATTTTGGAATGTCTGAAAAAGTATTTGATCTTTGTTCTTCTTTGTCTCTCTTGTGTTGCAGTGCGTCTCAATTCGCTTGACTTTGTTTGAACACACCGTTTCTGACATTTTGGATGGCTGCTGAAGTAGTTTAGAAGCTGATCCGTGTGCGTTCCTTCTTGTGTACTTCACTATGCAGTTGACCGTCTGCTGTCTTTGTGACCAGCAGATCTAGGAACACCAATCTGTTGTCCTCCATCGTTTTCGCTGGGAAATGATGTTGGGAAGCAAATTATTCGGTACTTGATTTGCTTGTTACAATTCAATCTATTTTACAATGGCAGATACGTCGCCCAAGTATTGTACCCATATTTTCGATTTAACGTCTGGTAGCACAGTTTTCTACGGTTGCCGCATTGTGATTCCCCCGATGAATTTAGAGGTTGGTGATTCCAAAGGTAATTCCATAGGCTGTTGATGATATTCTCCATTGAACTCAAAGTACCAGTAAGGTTACATCGGACGGCACTAGCATTCCATCTTCTTCGGTGGTCCTGTTTCTAGTCTATCCATAAATTGTCCTGCACTCTTGATTGATTATCGAGGCTCGCTGGTGAGATGCTTTACCCGCAACCCTAGTTCTCTTGAAATCTTGTGTGCAGGTGTTCATGCTAAAAAAACGATTGGGCGTAATTGTAGCGTTTCTTTGTGTACCTTTGGAAGCCCGTAGAATTGGTCAAACTCTGTGTCGTGGACTCACATCTCCCAATAATCTCCTGTGATTTGGTGAAGATCCTTTAGTTTCTTTAGGGTTTTATTTATCTTGTTTGTGAGCTTCGTGATTTGGTCGTTCAGGAAACGGCAAGCATGCTTGTATCGTTGAACAGAGCGTTGGCTTTGTTTGTTTATCCCAAGCTGTCTAGAATGACTGCGGTTTTTACTTCATCAGCTGGCAAAATAACAATAGTTTTGTTTTCTTTGAGGCTGTTTATTGCCGTTTCTTCTTCGGTGGAAAAGGCGCCGTACGTTTTGTTCCCAATGATACCTGGAACACGGTTTGACGTACCATTTGCTGGTTTTCTTCATTGAGACCGTTGGGGTTGAAAGTCTCTTCGAGAGTGGCAAAATATTTCAAATTGCCAGAATCCTTTAACGTAAAGTTAAGCCCTCTTATTAGCAAGTTTATTTCCGCCGCCGTGAGTTGCCTTCTGAAAAGGATTTTGATCCAGTGTTTGTTGTTGGTGCGCTCAATTGGCTTGACTTGTGCTACCTCAGCAATCGTGTGGTAGAGTACCCTTAGCTTCGGTGACACGTACGTTGGCGGAACGGACGAATGTGTATGCCAACGCAAAGAAAACTAATTAAAGCGTCCGAGACAATGGCTCTACACGCTTTGTTCTGGCCATTGAGCTGCACTGAGCGGCGAGTAATAAGTTTCCACATTAAGTACTGGTCCTCTAACTGTTTCCACGATTTGGACCAAGGGTACTTCTCAATTCGTTCAGAGGGTTAAGACTCATGTCACAGTCGGTATCACAGAAGATGGTACAATCGTTCTCATGACAGACCGAAACATATTCAAAAAATTAGCGGCACCGCTATCGGAATAGTTTTCTTTGATAAGGCTTTGTCTAAAGACTGATGAAAACTTGTCGTTATTCTGCTGCAGAATAACCATTTCGGAGGCCCATCATACGCGCGTAGTTTGCATAGTTCAGATGACCCTACTTCTTCTCAGGCACCGAGTTAGACGTTTGTGGACCTGAACACTTATATTCAAACCCTCACATTGCCTAGTAAGTGGTATCGTATCGAGATTTTGTCTGCATTCTGGGTCCAACTAAAACTGGTACAACTGAAACCTCAAACGGTCATTCGTTTTATAGTTTGTTGCTCCATTTGCGCTGCACTTTGACTCCACCTGTAATCACCGGTACTGATACACCCCAGTTGAGTTACGCATAGCCAACTGCCATAGAGTGCAACACACCACTGCCTTGTAGTTCACCTTAACCAAAGTTCTAGATAATAATATACTTAAGTCCAAAAGCTTGATGTGGACCGTCTGTTGGCAAAAAATGCACCCCGTAAAAATGGTAGAGTTCCAAAAGTCATGAATGCTAAGCACGCTACCCTACTAAAGAGATTGTGACAGATGGATGAGGACCTTCTCATGTTTTATTTAAGAGCCGAACGTATCATATAAGGTGTGTTTGATACACACAACTGGTAAATTCAATTGGTTAGTTCACTTGGTAAACGAAACTGATAATCTGGACCGTGCGTTCACTGCCTACCTTACCTGTTGCTAGCGAATGTCGCAGGCGGAATTAAGGTGTTAATGGCTGTTACAGTGGCACTTTTTTGACCCCAGGTGGCGATACCAGTAGAAATCACAGCTCAAGTATCTCAAACTATAGTCCGCATCACACGGGGTCCACAAGAGGCCCGACATCACAGACATTCAGTTCGGTTGATTCGTTGCTGTTGTGGTTAACTATGAACAATGAACAATTGTTGCATGTGTCAACAGAAGTGAGGCGTTAAATGTATGTCGAAAAGGTTTCATCGCTCATCAGAAAATTCAAGCTTGTGTTGTATGGAAATATCCGAAACAACCTAGTTAGGTTGATCTTACACATTATGCACGACAAACACTTTGATAGCGTATTTTAACTTTCTGGTCTCAGATTTATGGAAGTGAAGTGTTGAAATGTATTCCTTATGATGGTCCACATGATATCTTTCGTCCGTTTAAAGATACCTTTCCAGTGACAGGTTTTGTGGAAGATAAAGGGGTTGGACCGTGTTGTTCGATGTGTTAGTGTTAGTCATGTTCTATGATGAACTGCTCAGCGAAAAGGGTCATTTCCATTTTATATGTCCAGTCAGTTAGCTACATTGATTGGTTAACTCCCTTTTTACCCGCCTTTATATATCGTAACGACCACTGATGCTGGAAGGAAGAGCGATTCGTCTTTCAGTATTTAGTCGCGCTGCACTTAGGCACTAGAGGCGAACTGTGGGATATAAAACGTGTGATCAATCTACTTGTTGGTGGCTGTGCACCCACCTTCGAAGGATTCTAACAATGACTTTTGGCCTTTATCAAATCAGCAACTGCCAAGAAAAACCACCAAGTCCATAGTGATGCCACCTAAACTGTGTAGAATGCACGCTGGCGAAAGACAGCGTGATGCTAATCGTGCTCGCCTAACGAACGGCCCAGGGCACCGGGGTAATAGTCTGCGTCACAGTGAGGGAGATGGAAATTAGTGCCCTCGACGTAGTTCTGATGAGAAATATTGAATGTACCAGTCGGCTGCATAAGAAACAAGGGTAGTGAACAGCATTTTCTCTGGTGCCTACGTTAACACCAGGGTTACAATTGGTATAAAATAAAGGTTTGAGGCTGGATTTCGTCGGTCAGAATCCACGAAAGGTTACCAGTTATTGTTTGCTTGATTTTAATTGATTTACTGAAGATGATGCCATAACCAAATGATTATTACATTAAAGAAGTCCGGTGGAGTTGGGAAGTTTTCTAAATTTTGTACCAGCTGAACGGACAGCAAATATGGCGTTCAACAGGCTTCCATACATATATACGTATATATATATATATAATATCATAATGGACGCCATATTTACAATGTAATGCACTGCGCCGTTTTTACTGAACACAGCGGAAGATATTCAGCGTATCATGCATTTGCCAACGGAATGGATTGGTGCGCTACCCAGGCAGGAGGATACTCGATGCATCACGAAATTTATTTCCCGGTTCGCAGGTAAGCGGACAAACTAGGAAATTGAATTTCAATCCAGACTGAGTGATGCTGCGTTATCTTTTTTCGGACGAGATTTTTGTGGTAGTGAATGTCAGGTGACTGTCTTTTATCCCCGAAGTTATCAAGATCTGCTGCCGGCAGAACTGTTGACCAAACAGCTGGTTACCTAAACCACAGTTTGTCTATTTTAGTAAATGCCTGTCTCAAGTGATTAATTTGCAGGACGTGTAATTTATTCAGCTACTTGGACCGGATTTATCAGGATTTTTCAGTCACTTTGTGTCACCTCTGCTAAAAACACGCAGGTTCGATTTCTCCAAAGGATTTGCTTTTTACATCCACCTATTTTAATTCTTTAGACTGAAACCAGAAAGCGTAGATGGACAAATTTTAATATTTTTCTCGGAGGATGTTCCATCGCAGGCGACCCTCAGATTTGATTAACCTCCTTACTCATGAAATTAGTCAGTGTACTTTAGCTAAGCCAGGTGTTTAAGTAGTCCCAAAATACTCTGTGTCGAACCATTAGTGTCTGTAATTTATAAAGCTAATTAATAAAGCTGTAAACACTGTATCTTATTGAATAGCTTACTACTTTCCTCAATAGATCTGTTTGCGGAAAAAACCGGACTGATCAGTGAGGCCGAAGATCCTCTGGATAGGCATGCAAGGAAATGTGGTCAACGCGTATTTATGGATATCATACGTTACGCTTCAACTGGGGCATTGCCTGTCAAGCCACCAAGAAAGTGAGTGGTTCAGCCGGACAACCAAAATAGGTTATGTAATTGAGTATATTACGTACTTTGACAAACTTCACCTTAAATGTTGAGGTATTTCAGGAGCAGCTTCTTCTCGCTCTAGTTCAGACGCGTTCTTCTGTGGTCAGAGGACGTTGTTGTGACTAAACATCCGATAATTTTGGTTTCCAGGTTGTAAATATCACAGTAAAATTTCACCGCAGTCTGTTTCCACCTAACGTCAAACTGTTATATCCTCCATCCCGACCATAACAATAGTGAAATTATCTGGAAATTTCGTTTTCTCACATTCTGTCCAAGTGGGCAAATGATGAAGTCTCATGTTAGTGATCAAAGATTCCAATGAAGCCATCAAAGAAGGAAACTGAAGTAAAGTTTCACCCTGGACTTGGGTGCCTAAAACCGTTAATTGTGCATTTACAGTTGTACTGCCTCAAATTTCAACCCCACTGGGAGCCCTCGACGTATGGTTATTTTGTATGAAGAAATAATTTGGCCGACGGAAACTTATCGTCCGCAACAATATTTCATCGACGAAACAACACCATCATGGACAAATAAGACCTCTTCTGGTCCCCATAATAGATGCGCCATAGTCCCATGATCATGATATGTAACTATCACATCAAATGACTGATATCAACAACACCTATGGCGCGTCATCCAGAAACGTAAGATTACTACTCTTGGTTGGGTGTAAGTTGACCCGTTTGAGAATTTAATCCGAGATAAACACGCACTACCATTAGTTAAAGTATACCATATCTACATTAGAGATTCTTTGTAGTGAAGCCAAAGTATAGAATAAAAGGACGGGCGATAACCCACTGCTAATTCAGCACCGAAGAAATACAATTACTTTCTGTCTATCTTGTTTTTCAGCACATTATTTAAGCATTCGAGGTTAACTGAATGTCAGACAGAGATGACCGTTTTTGCGAGTTGACGTCACAACGCTAACGCCAACCACCATTAGTAGGGAGACTTATTATCTGGTATAGGTGGTCTGGAGGAAACATGGCTTCGTCGCGAACTCCAAAAGCTGACTGAAGCACTCACAAGCTGCTTGACTTTCATTAGCTCACAGCAGAACTTGTAGGAGAGTACTACATGGAAATACTTTATTTAGGAGGAGTACTATAGTTAGAGGTCTGCCATCCCTAACTGGATAATGAGGCATTTAAAAAAATTATATGGATGTGCATACGTAGACGTACAAATTTCAAATATCAAATTTCATCAGATTCGCTCACACTTCGAAGGCTACTTGACAGAACTATTGAGAGAGAGTGGAAAATGGAAAACGAGACAAAAGGGGAGCTCAGATGGCAATACAATGGTTTACATGGTCTTGCGAAAGTAAATAGTGCACAACTTTCAATTTATGCTGTTGATATTATTCGGCAGTCATAAGAATGACGTTTCGCACATTGAAGGCCTGAGATGCTCTGTTAGAAACCATCCAAGAACACATTCAGTGCAAGTTGCTATCACTGAAATCTACTAAAAGGCCTGTTTCAAACATCTCTGGGGTTTTTCTGGTAGTTTTAATAGTAAAAACTTCCGCGACTCATGTTATGGCTGTTATGGGTGCTCGCAGTGATCCAAGTATAGAGGCGGTTATAGAGAGATTTTTAGTAAATCCGGACTACCAAACTGTACCAATGTCTAAGAATTACCAACTAATTATTCAATGCTGTTCGTCAACAGATTTCCAGCAACATTTTCGCTACCGAAGACTGGACTATCATTTGACATATTGCTAACATCTACTCATTGGCTTTAGTAATTCAATCGGCTGAGTTTATCTGCTATTCAATTACATGATAACCGTAACTTTGAAAACGCAATGAACTAAAAATATCCACTTCACTATGCCAGAGTGGATCAATACTCGCATTCTCTTGAATTCCAAGAGCATAACTTTATAGTGAAAATGCTGGATACATTAAGTAAAACCGTCCAACAGCGATCGGTAGCCTACAGCGTCTAGACTCTTCTAGCATCTGTGAAGTTCGAAAATGGAGGCGATTTTCATAAAATACCTTATACAAATGCTACGCGGAGTGCCCAGCTTCCAGACAAAGCTTTTTTACGGTGACATTCGATTATCACTTTTGAGTGAGTGATATAGCCATTTCCGCTACACCGTGCAATAAGTCACACGTGTTCTGCGAAAAAACTTATGATTTCGGTTTAGTCATGACTGACAGCAATGGTGCGATAGTAAGTGAGTGAATCTGGAATACTGCGAATGAAGGGCGATAGTTACTTTGTGAACATTATGGAAGTCTGTCATTTGCCCAAAGTTTTGTGGGCTTACTCCAGCTGAGACTAACTTCTGGGTTTTCGAGGAACCAAGGAGCTTCTGATTGCTCTAACAGTTACTTGCAGTGTATAATATTTCGATTCGCCTGATTCAGAGTTCGTCAGACTGCAAACGTGGATGAAAAAAGTGTGAATACAGCTGACAGTATCAACGGACTGGAAAGCTATCCACCACTCGACTGGAATGACCAGCTGTTGCGTACTAACGTTAAAATATACGATATGCCAGAATGTGGAAAGACACCTGTAAGTTTTGTGACAGATATGGATTCCATATTTTTAGCAACAATAAACAAAAATCGGTAGTATAAAACATTTTGATGACCTAAATATAATGTTTAAATGTTTTCTATTGCATACTGCACTCGTTTGAAAATAATTGGTGCTAATCTTTTTTTGTCTGAGTTGAAGTAAAACCAATCGGTCAACGCTGTAAAAGACAATGAACCTCTGAGAATCTGCAGTACTTATAAAGTCCTTATCCAAATTACCCTCTTCTGTATGGTCCTCCTACTATCCTACCGTAGTTACTTCGGTGAGTTCAAACAAAAGGACCAACCAAAGGCCTTATTTTTGCTTTCATCGCAGCACATTAACAGTGCATATATTTGGCCAAGCCGGTGTTCAAACCCCGGATACCTGTCATGCAAGCAGAGTGCTTCAGAACTCGCTGGAAGAATCTAGCTGACCACATTTGGAAAGGGAATGTGTTTGCACCCTGAGTGGTGTGAAGAGCTTGTTCAAGGCTCCTAATAACGACTATTGATCGAATCCTCCACTTGTGAGCAATTCTTGGTCAGATGGCTGCATAGATGCTAGAAACTTACTTAATGACTCCGTCAGTTCACTTGTAATTGGTCTTCAGGCTTGTGAAATTTATGTCCGCACTACTTACTTGATGAGGTCGAATAGGAACGAAATCCCAGTTCATCGCTGCACTTCTTTTTGGTCTGAACTAGCCAGGGTAGTTGCAGCATCATAGCGGATGGAGTGTTCATAGAACAGTAGTGTAAAAACAGATGTACGATAATTGCAAGTATGGTAAGCTAAGATGTCTTCAGGAACCCCATTTTCCAGTATGGAGCCAAATTGATACCCATTAGGCAATATATTGTGAGTAGAAACCGGTACCTTACCGTCAAAATCTGTCTTTCAAGAAGTTTTCATTCAATCTGGTAAAAGCCTGCATTCGTAACCGCATCTAAATGTTTATTATAGATTGTTTGTAGGAGATACCAGCGCGATGTTTTTCCACTATTAATCCGATTTCAAGCGAGTGAAAATAAAATTTTGAATAGCTTTGAAGCAGATCACGCAGAGCCGACTTTTTACACCCTGGTGCAGTTGAACATAACTCACTCAGTGATTCTCAGAGCTTCAGTCGATCATTAATATATGCTGTACTCGTTGTTGGTGAGCTGTTTATGCATCCTTTGCTTTGCTCGAGCTTGATGACCGCGGTCATCCTTGCCATAAGCACGTATTTACTGTCGTTGGCATATGGTCGGTGCGCATTCTGAGAGACTCTATTCACATCCATTTATTGTTTCATCCTAAACAAGTGGTAATCCCACCAACCCTTACGATCCGTGTCCATACTGATCAGAAATTCAAGAACCATATTCCTTTGAAATTTCCTTCATACGGTTTTGTGTTCTGCTGTTAAGTAAGTGTGCACATGTGTGGGACACTAACCACCCTGGAACTCCTTTCAGAACGCATAGCGCTTGGGTAACCTTTATACATTACATGGAGCAGCACGCACCTTAGTAGTTTTTCATGACATTGAATAAATTTCAATCCCCTATGGTTACACTTCCGACCTCCCAAGTGCTAATGAAAATGAGAATGAATAAATCATTCAATGTCGTCGACTTCATCATGTTCGCAGTCTGTCGCATTATTGCCACGTTTTATGACTGAGAGTACGGGATCAGTAAAGTGTCGTGTACGAGCTGGCTGGTGAAATTTGTTGGTAACGGAACTTGTGTGACACATTTCACTTGTGCTTGAAAATATGAATCTCAGTTTCAAGAATCTGGCATGCTCAAAAGTCAAGATTTTCATACAACTATTTATTCGTAACATCCCATATGTTACTTGCCAATCACTAGTTTCTGCTTCGTGCACAATGGCAATTAACGACGAGGCTAAACGTTCCAGCAGTGCTGGGGTGTGGTTATGACGGCTTTTGAAGGTGTTCACAAAATTTTGTAACCGAATGTGCACCACATGCCGAGAAATACCCTTTGCATATTCATTTTTGTATTGAATCGAACAACAGAGCAGCGTGAAATAGTAGAATCGCCAAAATGCAAGTCTTAATGCGCACCAAACGTTACTTTTGCGAGTGAAATGGAAAATAACCCAATACGTTGTGCATTTGACGCATTACTGGTATTATTTTTCATACAAAACATCCTGTTCTTAAGTGAATTCATCGAATGGCTGGTTATCAGGGTAGTAAACGGGACGGAAACCATCGCCAGTGAACGGAACCAGACAAACTGTAATCCGGTAAGAGGTTAAGTAGTTGAAGTGGTTTGGACCGTTGCGGTAAAGAAGTGTCCAGCCGACTAATGCAGCATGAAGCTGAATATATACAAATAATAATTCCTGTCATTGTTTGGATTTAGTTTACTGAAAACCAGACATTCAGCTCGTGCCTTTCGCTTTGTTACAAGGAAAAAGCGTATCTGCCGCACTACCTCTATTTATGGTCAAAAGGATATGGTACTTCTTATGGGATATCTTGAATGAAATCTTACTGTTTTTCAATAAAGGTCACTAGACCCCTAGATGTGAAAGTAGGAGGTCTGAATGCGCTTTCCAGTTCTAGCTTGGAATCCACGCAAAATTCTAAAATAAATTGGTTGAACATGGAGTCTTTACATGAAGTCGATGTTTTCCAGTGACCAGTGGGAAGCCTGAGGGACTAGCTGCAGTAGAGATGTTCACGTATAAAAAGAAGTTATTCAGAGCTCGAGAGTACAGTGGGTCCGAGAGTATCGTAGCAATACTGAACTCAGCTGATAAAAAGGCACCTGGTTGTATGTGTTACTAACGGTTAAGCCTGGCCGTAGGTCTAGGATTTGCTCATCAGCCGATCCTCGAACTCTGGCTCAGGTGTAGAATATCCAGTACAAAACACCATTTGAGGGCACTTGAGGTAGTGATTACTTAAATGTTCAAACCAAATCGAAATACAGTTGATATCCGTTGAGTTCGTTTTTGTCATTATTGAGTTAAAAATGATTTTGAACGAAGTGTTCCTCAACTGATACATGTGACGTCATTGTCTTTGGACAAAATATTGAGTTCTGTGACTTCACGTACTTTTTCTCAGGGCGTGCACATCTCAAGGAATACTGACTGGCTGACTGAATACTGAATACGCTTAGCTTCCTGATATATAGCCGGTGCTCAAATCCAATTCATTGCATCGACACAGATTTATTTGGGCTTCTGTCAAAAACTCAGAAGGTTAAGGAGATGTTCCCTGGTGTGGGACTTTTTTCATTGCACACTTCTCATACACATCACTCAGCTCAGTAATGACCAACATCGATTTATTATTTGGGCACAGTAGCTTTAATTTTTAGATGAATCATCGTGACCACTTATCCAATCCGAGGTAAGTCCACATAAGTTCGCCTGTCCACTCTCCAGGTTGGTATGGATTGTCTGTTTTCAGGTGACAGATGAAGGACAGTGAAAGTTGTGTAGAACTATTACCATCTTCATGCCATCGGTTTCAAACACCTTAGTCTAGCCTTTTACTGAAATAGAAATATTCTCATCATTAGTTGACGAGGTCATACCGCTCACCAAAAGCACAGAGCTTAACAATTGCCAAAATACGCATCTCATGTTTTTCTCGGCACAGGTGACTCGTTTCTTGCTTAATTATTTCAGTTGCATAGAGGATTTGCTTCATGAAATAACTGCCAGTCAATCAGTCAGTCAGTTAACTTTTTAAAAACCATGTACCAAGCTGATTCCAGCTGCTACAGACAGCCGAAAATGTGGCAACAAGAGAGACAGTCCAGCATGAACCGCCATTCGTAAATGTGTTAGATGTCGGTTCCCCGTTTCTGATTTTTTCATTCGCAAAAATTAAGGATCGCTGAAATTGTTCAGTTCTTTAATGTGTCCATAGATAGGGGGTTTCATTCGACGTAGAGGTAAGTGGACGGACTTTTACAGCAGGCCCACTTGGAAACTCGTCACGCTGGAGTGCGCTTAGCTAGACCGCTGATGGATGATGGCTGTTGTAAGCTAACATGCTGGACTATCACTTGGCAAGTAAGGTGCTATTCTTTTCGACCTGCCTTTCCAGGACGTGTCAATAATCACTGATCCAAGCAATTGAAGGAACCCAAAAATTACAAAGAAGAGTTATAAAGGAGACGATCTGCAAGTGATTATTGTTTCTAAGTCTCCCTTGTGAGGATCTTCCAAGAGTGAGCTCATGATTTCAGGATGCACTCTTCAGGGATAGTCCGCAAATTTCTGGAAAGTTATTCTTACTACTAAAGTAGATTTGAATGCCGAAATTTTCCCGATTTTATAAAGAGAGCGGGAAAAGTTCTCTTACTAGGAGGAACATCGTTTGAAAAAATTACCCAAAAAAGTAAGCCTAGAAATGTATAGAAAGGTTCATTTTTAGAAAAACATCACTTTAGTCCGTCAAAAAAACCTTAACGCATTGTGCAGCTTGCTCATCTTCAGTGAGAATCAACAGTGCACACTTCACCAGTCTCCAGGGCTGGGGGGTGGGGTGGGGCAGAAGTTGTAACCCGTAGCTAGTATTTGCACACAACCGTTCGGCCACGAGCGGCTGATCAGCAGTATGATTAACTCTCTTTAAGACAGTAAATAGCGCCACTCATTCTACAGGTACGAAGTTTTCACCGCCCGGCCATGTGCTAGAAGGCTCCCAGAGTTGTCTTCTTAAATGAGTTCACAGAACCCGTTAGTTATTTTCCCCTCGCAGCTACTCACGGGATTTTGACAGTATGAGTGGTGGTTATTTGACAAACCAGTTAACACATAACCGAGTGATGGAACTTGTACGGCAGTGAAGCATCAGTGTTGAACACTGATGTCATACTGTCGATGATGATGATGATGATGATGATGATGATGATGATGATGATGATGATGATGATGATGATGATGATGATGATGATGATGATGATGATTATTGAACTCCACTGCTCATTAGTCGGTCATGGCCAAACTATAAGATGTTCACTTATTAGCCAGATGTTTTGAGTTCTGACCTCCCTGAAAATTCGTGAGGTGTGCACGGTTCTCAAAGAGGATGAATCAGCTGTTCAATGGTCCACGGCTTTTCGGCACAGATCGGCCTCACTGACAGCACGAAACCTCTGCAGAAAATCCAAAATCTGAGTTTCAGAAAATAGCTTTCTACCAAAATGGGTCATGGAATTTGTGAAAATTGCGTTCTTGTTACTTTCACTTTTTCTGCGACCTCACACACAAAATAAATTATTTCTCTGATGTTGCCCCACACTTAGCGTCTACTAATATTCCACCATTACTACAGAATACCATGTCTTTGTTTCTTCAACGTTTCGTCTACGTAGCGCACGTACATGTTTTCACGGCGTAAAGTGAACAATCCGTGTTTTATCCAAGAGCACCGCTCATTGATTGCCGTAAATGAAGCCAGTGTCATGCGAGAAGTTGCCCAAACTCTTACAAGCCTGGAGAGTGAAAAGCATAAGTTTGACAATAAAGTGGACCAATACAGCAAGTCACACAGCCTCCGACGGGCCATTTGTACGTAAGTATCTGAGTATTGTTGACCTCTGTTTTATGTGACGTCACATACCGGCAATCCAGTAGGCCTTCGGTGTTTCGATCTCTCTTGTTCTCGTAGCATCGAGAACCAGGTTTTGGATACCGGTTTAGGTATAACGTTCAGGTGATAAAGCTTAAAATTCATCGATGGACAGTGGAATTATGGTGGAAGAGCTAAGGAAGTGATCTTTGTTGGACTCATTTAGTCTTGTCAACTACACTTCAATGTTTTCGGCTTCTCATTCTCGTGGGAACAACCATAAGCAACTTTCGTTAGGAAGCCTCGGTTGTTCACAAACCTGAACAAAAATGAATCGGTGTCCAACTGGAAGTTTCTGGTAAGCAGTGCACCCACTGACACTTTTTACACTGATACTTTTTACCATTCAAGTTGTCCCTAATAGCAGTTGTCTTTTCTTCAGATTCGTTTAGGTTATGTTTGTAATCGAAATTAACCAGGACATTTGTGACGTCTCTATACCACACAATGATGCGTGGTACATGGAGTAATGGTTAATTTCTGAAGTGAACCGTTTTCTTCACAAAGGTGAAAGGGAATAATTGGTGGATTCCAAAGCTAGAATAGACAATGATTTGTTTCAGATGCTGAGTTACTTTTAATGCCTTGCAAATAGCATCTCGAGCTATAAAATACCACCCGTTTTGGGCATTTTATAATCTGTATGGTACAGTAATTTCTGGCTATTAGACCAAGTGACGAATCTGGTACACACAAATTGACAGCTCCAGCGGTCTCTTTAAGAATGCATTTACTGCATTTTCTATGAGTGGGTAGGAGGACAACCTCATGGGTAAAAGTTCACTAAGGCAATGCATAGGACCGTTAATTAAGATTATACTGCCGTGCACTTGTATTCGAAGTGCAAACCGGGCTGACCTGAGTGAGCTCTTCGGTGTTAGATATGTTGTGGTATATGAAGATGATGAGTAAGTACCCAGGACTTGCTAGGTGTGAAGCTGCGCAGACAGCGTATGACTGAGCAAGTTGTTGATTCGATAGGTCTCTTGCATCAAGTCTAATGCGTTTGGCAGTTACACAGTGCATGCTGCAAAAACACTGTAGGATAGGAGTTCTCCAAAGGCTGAGGATTTTTGTGGATGGTGAAGAGAGGAAACTCATAAACCGGAGCCGAGTGAGCAAGACAACTGCGCCACAGTACTTCACCAAACTAGCAGTTACTGCATACTGGATGGATCATGTGAATTTCAAGAGGTTATCAAGAACCGTCGTTACTCCGAGCCACGCATCGTACAGATGCCAGCATCTAGATTTGTTCTCTAATGGTGTAGTGCACACTATAATAACGAACATTACGTATCTACCTCACAAATAGAATCCAATGTCCAGGATTGCTTGGCAGACCAGAGAAGCCCAGGCATGTCTCGATCATAGACCAACTGGAAAAGGAGAAAAAACAATTTGATGCCATTGTGGAAAATCTCCCTCATCGTTTACACGACATTGCAAAGCTGCGGGCAATTAGCAGCAGGGTAATGACTGCTCAACTACCGGAAAACTATTTAGCGGACTGGATTATCGACCCGACGGATCGGGTAGACCATAGGCAGGCTGCGCTGCTCTGGAATCCCAATCGTCGCATTTACGTAGAAAATGAATTTCGCGAACAGCACAATTCACCAAAACACATACGGGCTATGGATGAAACACGATTGGACAGGGAATCAAGTCACTCAAAACACAGTGCGTTCAATTCATCTTATGGCTTAGATCCTCAAAAAAGATTCAGCAGGATGTCAGTAACCAGTAGGCGCAGGTCCCNAGGATGTCAGTAACCAGTAAGCGCAGGTCCCAAATGCCCACGAAGTTGTCGTCAGCAAGGTGGTCGGTGGCAAAGTCCGCTGCAGGACCGCTGCACGCTGGACAGCATGGGTCCAATGGTCTGGTGAGTAATTCTGTACATTGACTAATGAATTGTGCGTTTATATTACCCGCATTCCATTTATGGACAGTAAGGCCTTCCTCCCTTTTGGAGTGGTATGCAACAAGGGCATTGCTGCCATAAACCGGTATACCTAGTTTCTCACTGAAATCAGACTGCAATCCCCAAAGTTCATAGTTAGGAGTTCAGCTAATGGCGGGGACCTTTCACTTCTTAAAAGGAACCTTTTAGTGGGGTAGTGATTAGGTTGCCATCATCCATTCAAACAGTGTCTCTCATTAGGAGAATTTGTTTCAATACTTTGAACATCGGTCCCATTCAACTTTGCAGCCCACAGTCGTACATTCAGTCAAACATAACCATAATATTTTTCTGGATCTCACCTTAACGGCTTATAAATTCGTAAATGAAAGATTGACCCCTAAGATTATCGTTTGCTAGGTTAACTTTGGCCAACTGAAATACTTTTTCACTATTCCGTGACAGACATCAAGCTTTTATCCCCTACGGCTATCGTTCCACAAGAAACTGAAGATCCACCTATGAGTGAACAGAAGCAACAAACCTGTCTGGCAATGCAATAGATATGTTTAAATAGCAAACGACAAGGCTAACTTTGAAAGTCCCTGGTAATTGGCCGGAAGCTGTGCACGCCATTCAAGCACTGCAGTCAAGTAATGTTACCCTGTTTATGGTCCACAAAGCCACTGTTCCGGAGACAGAAATTCCTTTCGCATTACTTTCATCGGCCGTTAGCTTATCCGAATCCCTCGTTTTTCGGAGGTACATAAAACCTAAGCTTTTAGGACACGAAAATCCTTACTAAAGAATATAATGATCATTCTATATGAGGGTTCTTTATTGCAAATCTTTCTGTATTCGGCTTTGTATTGTTCACCCCAAGTGGATGTCATTCCAAGAAATGTGCAAATTTATGGACCAAAGCGCACTTACTCGCTTCTAGGCTCACCATTTAAGGATATCTCAGGGTCCTTCCTGTATACAAAAATGTACTGATGCTCACAGGCCTCACTGTAATGAAGGTTTACTGGTTTAGGCGGGACTTTGTTGCCGCTCTGGTTGGCACACGAACCCTGAGGTCACGTTTATCACAGTGTTTTGTGGTTCCCTTCAGAAAACTGTTTGTTGTTGGACTAAAACTGGGATTAAGTAGTTACTTATTCACAGGCTGATTAGATGGAGTGAATCTATTTTCCCAGGACTTACCTCAGAACATCAGCTTGCACTACATGTCGGTTATACGTCTCGCCTACTTTCATTCATTTTCAGGATAACACGTATGCGAACAATGCAAACTCAGGATTAAAACTGCCGCCAATCGCAAAAGGGCACAGATACTTTCCAGAACGGAAGCCAGGGAAATGAAAAAAGCTGCCTCTTCAGGAGTGTTCCAGCAGCAAACGGAAGTCCGGTTTACCATTTGTTACGGTCAAGGCAAATTTACCTGCATTTGCACTTAAAAATGACCAACAAAGCGTTCAGAATGGTCGAAATTCGAGTCGTACTGTTCTAAATTTTATCCAGAAGCAACTTCGGAAATAAATAAGGTTTGCTTTCACTGATTCCTGTTGACTTTTTTTTCTTCATGCAGAAGACTGAGAAAAACAGCAGGACGGGGTAAATGTTCTGTAACAATAGTGTACAGATGTGAATTTTCGCATGATCTTAATCCTCAGATACGCTATCTGTATGGAACTCTTTGGCTATTCGTAAAAGTAGGCGGTGATGCAGCAATTGTTTCTTGGAAAGGACACCTTGAAACGAACGAAGTCATATTATATTGCTCGGAGTACTCTCCAGTGTTCTATCACATAGTTTATAGTTTAAGTAAGCTTGTGATGGAGAATGAAGACACTGCGACTGTCTGGCGTATTTTTCATGAGTTTTCGGCACGGTGCCGGCTGTGGATTTCCCACTAAATCGAGTGACATGAGTTTTCGGCTGTGGATTTCCCACTAAATCGAGTGATATTCACTTTAGGTTCGGAAAACTGCGCCCGAAACAGTTTGATTCATTCGATTCGCACATTAAGACTTGTCTACTTGTAAGTAGTCAAGCTGTTGAGTTTTAGTGGATATGGGAAGCCATCCAAATGGGCACTTCCGTGTGATGTGAACTCCATAGCTGCACTCTGCAGCAATGCTGTACACCCCAATCATTTTTCCTGGAGGGTTAAACGCAAGCTTTTTTAGATAACTGACATGGGACTACAATGCAAGTTCGTTGTTCTGTTGGGGCGTATTTTCACTAATTGTCCAGAGGTAGGTATGATTCTGACTTAAAAGGACTCAAAACGGATAAGTACAAGGGTAGCGATTAGACGTACGCATAGAAAAGTGGCCATGTGAAATAGACAGATAATGCTGTATAGAATAACCTTAATTTGCAAATCGGACTTTGAAACGCCGGTAGTACGCAACGGTTCACTCCTGGAAAATTCAGTCAAAGCATTTCTTTCATGTTTATCAAGTGGTTAAATTATGGCTCATTCCAGCCTCTTAGCGAGCTAAGGAATATTTCGTGCTTTGGAATTTTTCATGAATCTTTTACTGCGTCCGAAGTTCATTTATTAGAAAATTTGGAATGATTCAGGTCATCCTCGCAATCATGAAAAATTGAAGAATTTCACCGAAAATTCCATGTTTTTATTCAACTTCCCAAGACTTGGTTAACTTTCTGTTAAATGGCATGCTCAGTAGCTGCCTGTTACACTTATGATCTCAGCGACCTTACTGTTTAAATTAACTACCTCGGGGATACGTCCAGATAGACTGGTTTACTTACACCATCATGATGTCTCAAGAAAGCATTGTGCGTAACGCTAAAATTATTCACATAACCTTTCAAGAAAAAGGGATGCTCAGACTGGAAAAAAGAAGTCCGTCAGTTTGAAAAAGTGGTGTGCATGCCGAGAGTTGATCATGAACGTGTCTGGGTTTCTGAATCCGTCGGCGTTGCAAACGGATCACTTATTTCACATCCACTTGCATTATCAGCTAAGATCTTCAAGCTTTTATGGTATAGTGAGGATATCTGATCATCTCCAGTAAATATTTCATCCCGTCAGGGGAGCAAACCTATGCCGGATAGCCTAGAAGCATTGTACTGCAGTTTCATCCTTGTTTGGAGACATCAGCAGTGCGCGTCTCACGAAACTCAGAGAGTTTCGAGCCTGTGACCATCTGGCCAGTGGTTGTACACGTTTGAATAGGGGCGGCTGATCAGCAGTATGATTAGCTCACACGAAGACAGCATACAGCGTCGCTCTTACATAAGGGAAATTCAAATCACATGGCGAAATATTACTGGCTCCACAAATGACGACTTCCTAGAAGGAAGTTTCACAGTCCAATGAAGCTATCATTTCTCTGAGCTTCTCACTGTTTCATAGTAATGTGAGGAGGTTTGATCATACTCAGTAGAGGTTTCACTTGACCATCAAGTAGCAGCAGTTTTCATCTTCAAGATACAACAGGCAAGCGGTTCTAGGAATAGGATCAGTTAAAATAGCATAACATTTAGGCTCAGCTTAAATGATGGCAACACAAAAAGAGTAGAACCTTTCAAACTTACACTAAGTACTGTGTTCGTCCTCAATGGAGTAGTCAGTGTTGCGCTTGGGAGGGAAACGAAGGCGTGGGGATAATTACGAGTTGTACGAGGAAGATGGAAAGCCTTGACCCATTTGAGAAGCTATCGAATGATTGCTCAAAGCTTGCCAGGTGTGTGTTGTTTTAGACGTACATACTGTAGAACGACCCGCAATCGGTCCCTCATACCTTTTTGCACGTTTTTTCCAAAGGAACAAATAAATTGACAAAATGAATTAAGCTTCTGGCCTTGTTGTTCTTACAGTCTCATCCAAATTAGAGGATTTATTGAACCAGCTCATATTTGACGATGGCTGGTGACTTCATAAAGGATCATAAAGGGTCTAACATATTCCAAACAACAGTGAGGCCCTGATAAAAACTGCATGGTTCTAGTCTATTCGCATTCTGTTAATTGCTCCTAACTGGCCTTATGTAACTTTGTAGTGTAGCAGTCTTCCTTCTTCATACAAATCGGTTGACATTTATACGTCTGAAATGTGCCGCTGATTATCGATTCACTTTGGCCTGGTTTATTCCGACGCAGTGCAGATTAATCACTCAGACCTGAAGAGACAAAATTATTCATAAATGTGGTTTAGGGTTTGTGATGCTCTCAAAAACTTGCAATTAACGTTAAACCAAGGTGGGGCATACAACGGATTTCTCTAGGAAAACTATGTTTGCACAAAGTATACGCACGAGCAAGACTGCTGTGCACATGCACCAATGCACCCCGTAGTTTAGGAGGGATTTTTATCCCGTTGCTCATTCATATAATAGCCAAGTTATGAAGCTACCCTTGGGTTACCCCGGTTTCTTTTAAATCGATTAAAAATCTCACACCATATTTTATTTACACCTATTTGAACGCATTCTGAAAGATTGGGAGTGAGATCTCTACGGTAGTGCAGGGAGTGGTCTTCTTGTTTGAATCAAATTTACTTAGTTCAACCTTGTCAAGTGTAAATCCTCCGTTTATGTCCGGCTGAAGACTGGTTCCCCCATATTCACTTTAGGTTCGGAAAACTGCGCCCGAAACAGTTTGATTCATTCGCAAATGACATTAAGACTTGTCTACTTGTAAGTAGTCAAGCTGTTGAGTTTTAGTGGATATGGGAAGCCAGCCAAATGGGCACTTCCGTGTGATGTGAACTCCATAGCTGCACTCTGCAGCAATGCTGTACACCCCAATCATTTTTCCTGGAGGGTTAAACGCAAGCTTTTTTAGATAACTGACATGGGACTACAATGCAAGTTCGTTGTTCTGTTGGGGCGTATTTTCACTAATTGTCCAGAGGTAGGTATGATTCTGACTTAAAAGGACTCAAAACGGATAAGTACAAGGGTAGCGATTAGACGTACGCATAGAAAAGTGGCCATGTGAAATAGACAGATAATGCTGTATAGAATAACCTTACTTTGCAAATCGGACTTTGAAACGCCGGTAGTACGCAACGGTTCACTCCTGGAAAATTCAGTCAAAGCATTTCTTTCATGTTTATCAAGTGGTTAAATTATGGCTCATTCCAGCCTCTTAGCGAGCTAAGGAATATTTCGTGCTTTGGAATTTTTCATGAATCTTTTACTGCGTCCGAAGTTCATTTATTAGAAAATTTGGAATGATTCAGGTCATCCTCGCAATCATGAAAAATTGAAGAATTTCACCGAAAATTCCATGTTTTTATTCAACTTCCCAAGACTTGGTTAACTTTCTGTTAAATGGCATGCTCAGTAGCTGCCTGTTACACTTATGATCTCAGCGACCTTACTGTTTAAATTAACTACCTCGGGGATACGTCCAGATAGACTGGTTTACTTACACCATCATGATGTCTCAAGAAAGCATTGTGCGTAACGCTAAAATTATTCACATAACCTTTCAAGAAAAAGGGATGCTCAGACTGGAAAAAAGAAGTCCGTCAGTTTGAAAAAGTGGTGTGCATGCCGAGAGTTGATCATGAACGTGTCTGGGTTTCTGAATCCGTCGGCGTTGCAAACGGATCACTTATTTCACATCCACTTGCATTATCAGCTAAGATCTTCAAGCTTTTATGGTATAGTGAGGATATCTGATCATCTCCAGTAAATATTTCATCCCGTCAGGGGAGCAAACCTATGCCGGATAGCCTAGAAGCATTGTACTGCAGTTTCATCCTTGTTTGGAGACATCAGCAGTGCGCGTCTCACGAAACTCAGAGAGTTTCGAGCCTGTGACCATCTGGCCAGTGGTTGAACACGTTTGAATAGGGGCGGCTGATCAGCAGTATGATTAGCTCACACGAAGACAGCATACAGCGTCGCTCTTACATAAGGGAAATTCAAATCACATGGCGAAATATTACTGGCTCCACAAATGACGACTTCCTAGAAGGAAGTTTCACAGTCCAATGAAGCTATCATTTCTCTGAGCTTCTCACTGTTTCATAGTAATGTGAGGAGGTTTGATCATACTCAGTAGAGGTTTCACTTGACCATCAAGCAGCAGCAGTTTTCATCTTCAAGATACAACAGGCAAGCGGTTCTAGGAATAGGATCAGTTAAAATAGCATAACATTTAGGCTCAGCTTAAATGATGGCAACACAAAAAGAGTAGAACCTTTCAAACTTACACTAAGTACTGTGTTCGTCCTCAATGGAGTAGTCAGTGTTGCGCTTGGGAGGGAAACGAAGGCGTGGGGATAATTACGAGTTGTACGAGGAAGATGGAAAGCCTTGACCCATTTGAGAAGCTATCGAATGATTGCTCAAAGCTTGCCAGGTGTGTGTTGTTTTAGACGTACATACTGTAGAACGACCCGCAATCGGTCCCTCATACCTTTTTGCACGTTTTTTCCAAAGGAACAAATAAATTGACAAAATGAATTAAGCTTCTGGCCTTGTTGTTCTTACAGTCTCATCCAAATTAGAGGATTTATTGAACCAGCTCATATTTGACGATGGCTGGTGA